TGAAGAGCAAAGAAATGAAGGAAGAGCGGTAAGGCAGAGAGAATAGAAAGGAGACAAAGGAAGACCCACCACAACTCTCAGGAAATCCCACATGTGGTTTGAGTGATTACAACGTCAGTGAAGGTGCAGCTGACCACTGGCCAGGAAGCACAAGCAGGTGCAGGAGAGTCACACTGGGCAGATCCACGTGAGAAGGAGGGATGCTCCTTTCCGGCTGGTGCTCATCCTCTTCTCTCTCCCAGCTCCCCCAGATGCCACGTCGGGGGATTACACCATGGGCAACCTCATCCGACTGGGTCTGGCTGCCATAATGGTGGTGATTATGGGGGCTCTCGTGGTGGAAGCCTGGTGCAGCCAGAAGGAGTCTCCACGTGGATCCACATGAAACACCTGAGCGCCTGTCTTGTTCATGGGCTGCTGTAGTGACATGGGGTTCTCTAAACACCAAACTCTACCATGGGACTTCTTGTGTTTCTCAACATGGGCACAGATGGCATTTTTGGTGGGATATTTCTTCACCATATGGGGCCATCCTGTTCGTTGTGGGAACATTTAGCACTGTTGCTCTTTCCCATTAAAGAGCAGTTGAAGCCCCAAATCACTGTGGGAGATGATAACAAGCAAGTACTACCGCACTTTTCCAACACCCGTAGATATGGAGGATGGGAGTGGGGTGGTGTCCCCCCGGCGGAGAGCCCGTGTTTGGGGGCCAGGAGAAATATTTCTTCTCTTCCTCCCTTCCTGATCTCACATCTGTCCTTCTACACATAGGCTCCACAGCTGTCCAGGGGGAATGATGCGTCCTTGATCAAGTTAACAGCTTGTGTGAGATCTGGTTCTCCTCTACCCTGGGACAGGAGGTGCACATGAGGGAGATTTGGGAAGCTTGCAGATGAGATGTGATCTCACTCATTTCCTGACATTATCTAAGACCCAAAGTGGCCCCTGCATCTTCTGACAGTGTCATCTAGGATAGTGACAGGAGTGACCAGGAACTGTCACCCATTTTGAAGGCTTCTTGGTGCTCAGGATGACATAAATTAAGATAGTATCATTTGGTTGTTAAATTATTTGTGTGTCAAAATCAAAATTAATAAAGTATATGGCACCAACTCACTTTTATTGTTAATACGATACAGAAAAGGTGGAATTTAACCACAAATTCCATACCAGTTAAGCGTGATACAGTGTTCCACAGTGTTTTAGTAAAAGTAAAAGCATCATGACATCCTGTGTTCCATTACCTGAGAAATTTGAGAATAAATATCTTTTACTTAAGTGTGATCTTGTTTTCTGAAATCAAAAGCTAAGAACCAGTGGTCTTGAAAAGGATTTTCTGAACTGTGGGTTTATGTCTGAGCCATTGAAAGGCATCAAAACTGCTCTCATAAATCATCCCTTGCTCTCAGGACCAAGCCCCAAAGCATCAACATGCTCCTTTAGGTCAAGAAAGATTTAGGTCCGCTTCCCTTAAGACTTCTGGTACACAAAAATTGAATAAATGCCAAAAGAGTTTACAAAAAATGGTAGCATTATTGAAAGCTTATGTCTCAATCTAATTGTGGTACTCTCAAGTTAATGATAGGATTTATACATGCAAATCGATTCTTAGACCAATAGGGGCCTTGAGGTCCAGAAACTGGAAACCAGCAGTGAGATGTTCTCTTTTATTTAAGTCTGAAGAGGCATCTCCCTGCCTGTGCTGATGGTCTCTCTTGGAGGCAAACTCAAAACTGAGGCTCCTTTTTTTGTTTGTTTTTTAAGGATTTATTTATTTATTTATTTTCTCAGAGAGAGAGAGGGGGCACAAGCAAGGCAGGGGCAGAGGGAGAAGCAGGCTCCCTGCTGAGCAAGGAGCCCAGTGTGGGACTCCATCCCAGGACCCTGGGATCATGACCTGAGCCAAAGGCAGATGCTTAAGTGACTGAGCCACCCAGGTGTCCCTCGGAGGCCCTTTCTGAAAGTGAGGCCCAAAGACGCTGGTGACCACATCCCCATCTAAGCCTTGCTCACCATTGTCTGACATAAACCACTTACTACAGCCAGATCACACTCCTTTCTACTCCCTGCCACCTCCCCCTCATCTAGAGCATTCCACGTTTTTAAAGATTTTATTTATTTATTTATTTGAGAGAGAGAGAGAGAGAGAAGGAACAGAGGAAGAGGGAGCAGCAGACTCCCCTGCTGAGCAGGGACCCTGACACTGGGATCATGCCCTGGGCCGAAGGCAGATGTTTAACTCTCTGGCCCTCGTGTGACCTCCAGCAGCACTTAGAATTTGTCATTTTTGTTCCTGACGTTCTTCCTTGCAAGTTCATCCTTCTGCCTAAAGCGCGCAGGAGCTCACCGACTCTCCCCCAAGTCCAGCTAAGGTGTGCAGCATTCAGCGGGCGCTCAGTAAGTAATAACGGACCCGCGTGTGATGCAAGTGAAGCACTGTGCTCTCCAACGCTGCGAAACGGAGTGGTGTCCGGCCCTACTGATTCCCGGAGGGGATGACTGACGCGTCGGGCCCGCCCTGGGGACTACAAGTCCCAGCGGCCCGTGCGGGCCTGAGCCTGTGGCCGGGGGCCCCGCAGGTTAGGCCCACTGAGCAGGGCTCCAGCCGGACGACGTCCTGGGGCCATTCACAGGGCCGAGCCCGGGGGCAGTTCGACATTCCCCTGGATGCACAGGGCACTGGTGCTCAGTCCGGCCAGGGGGCGGGACCCTAGAGGGCAGCTGCGGCCCGCGCGCTCCCGACCTGCGC